GTTTTTGGGGGGATTGGCTAACTTCACTTACATTTCTTTCTAAGATAACTTTTCCGGGCACTATATTATTGGTTGGTATGTTTGAGGCCCTTTACCCCAGGACTTTGAATATGAAACCTCTTCCCTCCTGACCTATTTTTCTGCTGAAAAATCCACTGCTGGATTTATTGGAAAATCCTTATGTGTTATTTGCTTCTTCTGTTACTTCCACTCTTTGAATCTGAAAACAACTTAATTTTGCATCAAAAATACACTTTTACTCTACTTCCCACCGTTTAATTTTTTCTTTGTTTTTCTTTTTGACGGTTTGATTGTAATATGTCTTGCTGTAGTCTCGTTTGGATTTAATCTGATTGGAGGCTTTTGATCTTTCTGTAGTTGGATATTTCTCTCTTTCTCTAAATACAGAATGCTTTCTGATATTATTTCTTTAAGTAAACTTTCTATACATTTGTCTTTTCCCTTTGCCTTCTTAATTCTACAATTTGAACATTTGCAATTTTGATAATGTCCCATGATTCCTGTAAAGTTTCTGTTTTTTTTTTTCATTCTATCTTTTTTTTCTCCCCCCACTGTATATTTTCAAGTAGCCTACCTTCAAATTCCCAGATTATTTCTTCTGATTGACTAATTCAGCTCTTGGTGCTCTTTATTGCATTTTTTATTTCATTCATTATATTTTTCAACTTCAAAATTTGATTTCATAAGATATAGTTTCAGTTTCTGTTAATTTTTTTTCATTTTGATTATTTATTGCTTTTCATGATTTTGTTTCTCTATAACTTCTTGGAATTCACTAAGTTTTCCTGAAAGATTTCAAAGCTTGTGGCTGGTAGTAAATATATCTTTGTTTCTTTGGAATCAGATACTGGGTGACCATTGTATTCTTTTGCTCATGTTGTTTCCTTGGTTTTTCATGTTTATTGTTGCCTAACATTGTTATGTATACATTTGAAGAAATACGAACTAAATTTAGTTTTTGCATACTGACTTAGTCTGAAAAAGCCCTTCACCAATCAGCCCATACAGATTCTGGGTAGGTTATCTGACATGGCCTTAAGGGTTTGCTTGCTGCTGAAGTGTTTGTGCAGACTAGCCTGGGACATAGGTCAGTGGTCAGATCTGATACCGTGGTCCATGGGATTAGACCTGAAGTCTAGATCCACTGGGGTGGGACTACTGATCAGATTTTTGTGGATGGGTTGGGTCCTGGCTCCATGAGAACAAACCTGAAACCTGTGTCCATGGGGACTAGTCTAAAGCTTGGGTTTACAGGAGCCAATCTGGTAAAAGGTTGGCTCTTGAATCTAAGTCTACCAATATTATCAGGCTCTGGTATGGACTTGGCACCTGAATCCAAAGTTTCTAGTCTGGTATTGGGGCAAGATGGTGCCTGAAAACACTAGGACAGATCCCAGATCTGAGTTTGTGGGAGTGGTTTGAGGATCTGCATCCCTGGGGCTGGTCTGGAGACTAGGTCTGCAGTCATGATCTTAGACCTCAATACATAGGTTCTAGTCTATCACCAAGGTGTACTTGGGTGGGCCTAGAGTCTAAATCTGTTGGGCCATGGGTCTTCTAGAGACTGGGGGTTGTAGGGACCCTCCATCCAAAGGGCTCAATCTGGAACTTAGAATCACAGACCCTAGCCTGGCGCCTAGAGACCACTGGGTCTTTCCTGGAGCCTGGGATCATGAGGACATGTTTGGAGACCTTTGTCCACTGGTATAGGCTCAAGACTGGGTGACCAGAGATTGGCCTAGAGGACAGATTTGAGAAGGCTGGTATGGGTTCCTGGGCTTAGGAGGTCAGCCTGGGACCTGGGCATATAGGGGTAGTCTTGAAGACTTGGTCCACGAAGACCTGTTCAGCTATGGGGTCCATTGGGCCAGCCTGGACTCTGGTTTGCTGGAGCATAAGGCTGTAGGGAACATCCTGGAATGTGGGGTTGCAGGGAATGACAAGTCATTGGGAAGACCTGGAACCTGGGTGTGTGGAGGTCATCTGATGTTTGAGCCCAAGATTGTTGGTCTGATGCTGTGACAGACCTAAAGCCACAGCCTTAGGGACTGGCTTGGCAATGAATGGACCTGGGCACTCTGTCAGCAGAGGCTGGCCTAGAGGTTAGGCCCATGAACACTGATCTAATGACCAAGGCTACAGAAGCTCGCCTGGTACTGGGGTGCACATTAAACCTGGTGGTGTGAGGTCAGTCCATGTTTGGGCAGGCCTAGAGACTTCAGTCCACATCAGGCCTGGAGCCTGGACTAAAGAATTCTGCCTGGTGCCAGGGCACACGTAGAGATGACAGGGTGGTGGAAGAGTCCGGTCCCTGTAGCTATCTAAGGAACCTAGGTCCTTAAGTGCCATTCCGATGACTGGGGCTCGCAGGGGCCAGCCTATCATTGAGGGCAGTCTAGAGCCTACAACTACCAAAGTCTGACTGGCAGTGGGGCAGTCTGGAGACTGAGTCTGATGCATAGGCAGAAATTGCATTTTTTAACAGCCTCCCAGATCATTGCAGAAATGTAACAAAATAAATATGCTACACTGCACATAGCTGTTCCTGAAACTTCTTCAAGATGAAGAGAACATAGAGGTCTGGCAGAATGTGCTCAGGGCTTCCTAAAGTGCACTACACACAGTCCGAGCTCCAACTGGTACCAGAAGGTTTATGCAGCTATATTCCCACTGCTGGGAGCTGCAAGAAAATAGCAACTGGCACAAAGCAAGTAGGAGAAGAAATTTTGTTACGGAACTAATGACAGTGGAGAGGCAATAAGTGAATGGAAGTGGATGAAGGACCCAGGGAAGAGTTTTTAGTTAGAATTTTCTAAGTGTACTTTTTTAAGAGAGTGGATTTTCATACAATATGACGAGGCCTTTTAACAGTTGTTAACAGTGCAGGATTCAGGATCAGGTGGGGCTAGGTGTTTAATTCCTCTCTGCTTATTAGGTACGGAAGCCCTGGGGCAGGTTGCTTGATTCCCAAAATTCAGAATTTTTATTGGTAAAGTTAGAAATAATATTTTCTCAGAAAAATGATAAATGAATTAAAGTTATATGATGTATTATTTTTATGACAGGAACTGGCACACAATGAACATTTAATAGCAGTTGTTTACAGATGCATGTGTGTGTTGAAAAGAAGGAAATTATTCTATGAAGGTAAAAGTGAATTTTTTTATTGATGCGTGATGAGTGGGAGGGAGATGGATTGAGAAAAATGAAATCAGGAGCCTGGGAAAAGAACTTAGCCTGTTCCAAAGATCACCCCTGCTTAAAATGCCTTGCCAAGGTGAACACCAATGAGCACCCCATGGTGCACATGAGTGGGGACTGAAAGAGGAAGTCCCTTTTCTGAGGGCCATTGCCTTACAATTCATGGAAAAGGATCTTGTTCTGACCAAATAGCTCTGAAAACAGACCATGAAGGTTTCTGTAAATAATTATCCTTCAGTCCCTTTCTAGGGATTTATCATCATTCAATAATAAGAGAGAGAATGTCTTAATCACTTTATTTTGAAAGGCAAAATATGATTTTGAAATTGTGTGTTTGTCCCGTGAATCACTGTGGAAACCAGGCCCAGGCATGTATGTGTACAGGTATGTATGTGTACAACTGGGTTTGAGCCCATATGCACTGCTGTATTCTGAGAAAGCCGTCTTCATGCACAGTCTCATAGCTTCGTTGCCCACCCATCCACACCACCACACATGCACACAGAAAATAACCAAGGGAGAAAAAACCCAACACCACTTCAGAGCAAATTATTCCTCCTTTCACTTGCTAGTATGTTTCAGGAAAATCTCATTTCAATTTAGCATAATTCATTAATGTGGCAGCATAACACCATTAAGTACTTCTAGAACATTTTAGACTGTGATAGTTAAAAATTAATCTAAATATGGGATCTAAAATTAAACACATGTAAGCACATCCATCTGATCTTTCTCAGACATTGTCGATTTCCTATGATCTCATTTAAACCTTGCCTTTAAAAAATAATTCTGCACTTTAAAGTAGATTTTCTGATGCAAGCACCTTAGGTATCCTGAAAAGGGTATCCTGAAAAGATAGACTGTAACCACTGGTGGCACAAAAACTACAGGGTGAATCTGTAGTACCATCTAGAGTCTCCGGAGGTCATGACCATCTTTCTAGGAAGCAAAGCATCCCTTTAGCTCCCAGAAATGTAGAGTGTTTGGGATGGGAGACTTTTTTCTCCTTACAGCTCATCAATTTAACCCTAATTTAATTAAATCCGTGCAATGCCAACAGCTGTCAATTGTCAATTTATAGTATCCTATCATTTTCCCGGAGAGAACTCCTCTACTCTACAACCATTAGACCACTCAGCAGCAGCTGAAATGCATGGGGCTCTTACCGGACCTAGTTTTGATAATGTGTAATTCAGTCCTACACATCAATTCCTGGTATATTTAAAAATAGAATCTTAGGAAGTGTGGGGAGAATTCAATGGCCACCTTAAACTAAAAATCTGTTTTGATTGCAGAGCAGAATGTGTTCGCAAAGAGCAAAGGGAGGGGGGAGCATAGAATCTATTCTTATTAATTTTTTTGGTGTGCTTCTCTTTTTCCCATAAAATCCATTTCTTTATTTTAAGCGGGTTGGCCGTCCCTTGCAGTGTTCCTGCCTTTATGAATGTTTCCTTTTTGCAACGGATTGCCTAAAGCTACCAGCAGTCCCTGTTTCCTCTGAATTAATGCCATTGATAAGCGGTAAAAGGAAGAGATGTTGGCAATATATGATTATGGATTAAATGATGCAATTTCGGGGTCAGTTCTACAGAAGGCACTTATGAAGACTCTGACAAGTGAAGATGAATGGCAATGAAGGAGGGCATTTACCATGGTTGGAGCCGGTGCCAGGCCGGATCCCGGGGCTCTGCTGCCATCTGCTGGCCGAGGCGAGACCCCAGCCGGGAGCCTGCACACACAATCCTTCAGCTGTCGCTCATTAAGCGAACAGTTCCCATTTTAGGTCACAGCTTACCTTCAGCATCCACAGACCTGTCACTTAGCCCTCTCTCTTTGTTTTCTCATTCATTCGCAGCAGCAGACATGCCAAAGACTGGCAGAAACACGGGGACGCACGTCCCGACGGGGTGCTAGGTAGAACGCACCTTGGTGCTGTAATTTGACCAATAGATAAATTTCAACAATGTGCACATGAGACGGAAGCGGAACTAGGAGAACTGGTGATAAATTCGAGGTAATTATTTTAAATTGTTACTTTGCCTTTTGCGGTTCTACTTTGCCTCGTGCAGTAAATCAATGCAGCCTTTGCATTTTGACAGGAACATGATTTAGTTCAAACCCCAAAATGCATTCGGTAGCCCTCGTGCGTGGGGGATGCCCACCACCACTCGGGAGAGAAGGACCTTCCCGGGCTCCCTTTCCAACCTCAGGGGTGCTGAAAACAAATTCGATCAGCATTTTCTTTTCTTTTCTTTCCTTTTCTTTTCTTTTTCAAAATGACTCGGTATTGATTTCCCCCGGAGACTGACTGCCGCCTCTGGGTGGAGATGAGATATCTGTCGTGCATTCCGCTAATTTGGTTGGCGAAAGAGGACGAACCCAGGAAGTCGATTCTGAAACCAGATCCCCGCGCAGGGGGTTGCGGGAAAGGAGGAGAAATTAATTAGCGCGGCCTCCCGCGGTGCAGGGCCCAGCGCAGCCGCGCCCCGAGCTGGGCACCAGGCGGTCGCCGGCCGCGGAGGGCTGCGGGCTCCGAGCCTCCAGGCAGCGCACCAGCCATGGCCCCTCCTGAGCGACGCAGGGGAAAGGAAACCTTTCAATATCGCGCTGCGGGGAGACGGGGGCGGCGGCGGGAACCCGCCCGGGGCTTCGCCGAGGCGCTGCTCTTCTTGGGGAGGCGCACGCCAGCGGGGGGCTCCTGGGGAAGTCAGAGGTTTATAAACACCTGGAGGTCAGAGCGTCCTTACCTTCAGTTTCTCCGTGCCTCTCTCCAATAATATATTTAGTGGGTTTACCTCTCTATTTTGTGACTATCCTGGTTTGCAATTCCCTGAATTATTGTCCAGTGAGTGTTATTTATATTAGAATAGAATAATATATTCTTGTCCAATAAAACAGATTATATTATATTATGTATAGTATTGTTCTATATTGGAAAGTATGGCCAAAACACACTTACAAATTTTCAAAATTAGTGTCATAAAAATGATAAATCCATGACATGGCCTCTGCATAAGGGACAAAGTAGATCACCAGCACTCCCCGGGCAGAGCACGCAGGCCTGTGGAGGGCACTGGAGTCCTCATTAACAAGGACAGGGGACATGGAGACCAGTTGTCCACAGCGGCCCAGCCAGGCTGTAGGACACCCTGTGGACGTAAAGCGTGCACTGGGCTTGTCTCTCCGGTGGGGAGTTACAGGGCCAGGCTTCCTCACAGTGTCTCCTTCTCCTGATGGAGGTATTAAGCAGCTAGGGCACTGCACTTGTGTGGAGTGGACACAGTGTTGGGTACGAACTTGCCCTGCCGCACTTAGTCCCTCTGCTTACAACAGGCAAGGCTGGGAACGGCTCTGCCCCTTCCTGCAATCTGAAACGGATTATTTGGGCTTAAGAGTATCAGAATGCCATCTCACGCTCCAGAACAGACCAGGCTCAATTTCCTCTTTTTTTCTTTTCTTTTCTTTCTTTCCTTCTTTCTTCCTTCCTTCCTTCCTTCCTTCCTTCCTTCCTTCCTTCCTTCCTTCCTTTCTTCCTTTCTTTCTTCCTTTCCAGCAGGCATTAAACCCATGGGCACTTAAACACTAAGCCACATCCCCAGCTATTATTTATTTATTTAATTGTATCTTTAAATTACCTATAGTCTTGCTAAGTTGCTGAAGCTGGCTTATGAACTTGGGATCCTCCTGCCTCGGCCTCCTGATCCACTGGGATTGCAGGCACATGCCACCATGCCTGGTTTCAGTTTTCTTTAAGTTCCCTAAATTGTTGCTTAATGCCTATAACAGGTAAAAGATCAAAGGCCCATCCTTCCCCTTCTCCTGGGGTCCTTCTGATTGAAGATGGAAGTGCACTGCCCACTCATAGTTAAAGAGCAGGCTCCAGTCCCACCACACAGGAGTGGGGGCTGAGCGTGTCTTAGTGCTGTGTGTCTGCAGGAGTGACTGAATCTCTGGGTCCCAGTGTTTTCATCTCCATGGTGAAGAACAAGATGCTAGTTCCCCTTTAGTGCTCAGCTATGATTCGATGAGCTCGTACACAGAAAGCAGCTAAGAATAGTGCAGAGGGTCGAGTTGTAGCTATTATGTATTTAACTTGAATTTGTTGAGCATCTGCATCTACCAGGGACAAGGCAATAAATATCACTTTTCATCCAGAGGACTCAGTGACATTGGTCTTGATGTCCTCATTTTAAGGATGAGGTCTCTGTCTTAGAGAAGTTGAAATGCTGAGAGGTAACACAGGATGAGTGGCATGCTGCATGTCACAGTGGACTCAGAAGCCATTGTGCTTTGTGTTCCCCTCCTGCACCGTCCCAGAATAGAGAAAGAGACGGGCTCCCTTGAAAGCATTTGCACATTTTGAGAGTATAAGAGGTGGAAACACGTTTCCCAGATAAGGAGGGATAGTACTACTAATAACTAAGAATTGCTAAGAATCAGCAGGGACAACACTACTAAGTCTTGAAAGATGTGGTGATGTGGGTGGGACGTCCCAGGCAGCTAGAAGAACTTGAGACCCAGAGGTGGAAGAACAGATGGGCTCCGGGAATAGCAAGGTCATGTCGATGAATTATTGACTGATTCAGAGGTGCATGCAGGAGAATAATGAGAAACAGCATTGTAAATGTTGTTTGAGGATAGATCTAGAGATACATGAAATCCAGGTGAGGTTAGAATTTAGTCTCTAAAGGAGTGATGGTTTTCTTGTGCTCCACAATGTATTCCAGTGCATGTAATACACTGCAGGGGAGGGAGATGACAGCAGAATATTGCAGTTGCAAGAAGCTCCTCATTTGTGGAACTGGAGGAAGAGAGGACAGATTGACAGGTCATGTGAAATCTCTGCACTCTGGTCCATCTGAACCTCCTGGAACCAGTCCCCAGCCTCAGCTCCTGAGGACCTGCCTGTAATATTCTTGTGAGAGTGGTCCCTTAAATTAACCCAACTATGCAGGAAAATGGCAAAGACCTGGGATTCACACCCCACATTCAGAAAGTATGAAACCACTCTGAGCCCCTTTCCTCATGGGATAAGGGAAATAGCCGTGGTCTCACTTGCCAAGAGAGGGTGCTGGTCCAGTAAGAACAATGCAGATCACATGCCCATCGGGTTCCCTGGCTTCCCTCCCTCCTGTTCACCGACAGCAGCAATTGCCCACCCACCCTGCTTACCACCGGAGCAGGTGCTGTGCTCCTTCTGGCTGTCATCTGCTATCACAAGAGTGTGGGAAAGCCACAGGAGCTGCAGAAGAAAGAGAGGAAGGATGGCCTCCTCCACCCACACGCTGAAGCCCAAAGAGCCAGCAGCGGGAGCCAAAAGCCCCCGGGAGGCCCTGGTGCACCGCACCCCTTCCTGCCTGGTTCTCGGGATGCGTTCCATTTCTCTCTGGGAGTGAGAGCGACACTGTGCCCTTTCTGCCCACAGCGTGGGGAGAACTATTAAGCATTGAAGGGATTGCCCTAAAAATACACCACAAACAAATTGCAGGGCATACTGCACGAGTCTCCAGCTGTTCACATTTGAACAGAAATATTAAGAAAGCAGATGGTCTCTGTAAAACACAGAGTGCTTCCAAACTGGGAAGCTACTCTTTTTCTTCTGGTATTTTAATATTTATATCTATCAAAATTATAAAATGTAGATAAATATGTGAAGAGAAAAATGACAATTGACAATATCTTAATTCTAGCCATACCATAGTTAGTAATTTAAGTTTTTTCATTTCATTTTTCCCACGAATGTGATGTATATGCACACATACATACATAGATACATATTTATCTTGAGAACTAATGTAGATGGATTATGTCCACTATCTTTTTTCACTTAACGTTACATGGCTGTCATTTCCTATATTTTGTGTGTGTGTTTGTGGAACAAAGATAGCTATGGGAGGTAATAGATATGATAGGTTGCTTAGCAATAGTAATCATTTATATGAGTGTGTGTGAGTGTGTGTGTATGCAACGAAACACCATGTTGTACACCACAAATATATACAATAAATAAAAACTGTGACATAACCTTGGGATAGAGAATTTTGTCCACTCTCTCTTACTTACTCTTCTACCACACCTCTGACATAACATTGGTGTATCATTGCTAAAAATATGCACACTTAGAACCTATGTCAAGAGTTTCAAAGACATATAAAGGCAGTAAGAGAAACCAGAAAAGACACTAGATGCAACTTTAAACCCTGACACAGGTACGGTGGACACAGCCTCACTCCCAGATGGATTTACATGAACCACATGCTAAGCCACACCTATCTCCCTGGGTTCCTTTGATCCAATGTATCATATTTAGATTTCAACCAAAAAAAAAAAATCCCAAGCCATGCCAAATTTAAAAAGAAAAAAATCTGAAGAGACAAAGGAACAAACCAAGAGCCAGACCCTAGCTTAGAAGTGGCAGAGACTGTGAAAGCACCAGTTCAGGTCTACGAAATAATCTTGATTAAAATGTTGAAAGACAGAAACCAGAAACCCAGAATTATGGATCCACTGAAGTTATACTTCAAAAGTGAAAGAGAAATAAAAACTCTCAGAAAAAGCAACTGAAGGACCATGCCATCAGCAGGCCTGCTCTGAAAATCGTACACAGGTAGAAAATGACAAACATGATGAAACCGAGAACCAAATGTTCTGATTTTTTGTTTTGTTTTGTTGTTTTCAGGACAATTATTCAGTGTGATTATTTTACCAAATGACCAAAATCAGTGACCCATCATGAGGAACCGTCACTTTTTGTGGAACTAAAATTGTTCAGTAGTTTTAAAGATTAAAGATAATAAAAATATCACTAGCTGAAATCATAACGGTGTCTGGTTCCGGTACAGACAGGTCCTGTCAGACTTGAGGCCATGGGAGAGCGAGGGCTCCGGGGAGGTAAGGCAGTAGAGGTGGGCTGGCTGTGCCTTCTCAGAGCTGACCAGGAGAAAAGGGAGCAGAAAATGTACGGAGCCTCAGTGCGGACGTCAAGAGTATCAGGGAGCTCTGCGGAGACGTCACCAGGATGGATGCAGGTGAGAGCGCACCTTGTCCTCAGGTGGGCAAGACAGGAGCCGCTGAGGGAAGTGTGGGCTGGTCTGCACCAGCCTTTTTCACAACTCTCTGGGACATCATTTTTAAGATTAAAATTGCTTTGCCTGTCCATTGGAAGCCTGGAGAGGTGACAGAACTGGGTCTCTCAGACCTCTCTGTTAATTCATCTACAAATCTTTCCTCAGACAAAATCCTGACAGTGGAAGAAGATGATCCCTCTCCAGGCCCTGAGTTTTCCAAACGTCCTCCTGGCCCTTGGGATGAGACAGAGGGTGGGGAGTTTGTGGACTCTCCATTTTATCTGCCCAAACTCTTAAGTTTCTTACAGAAATAAATGAAAAAAGTCACCAAGCTGCATCTCATGCCATCAGAGCAAGGGGAAACAGGCACTGCTGCTCTGTAACAAGTGATAATCCAACAACAAATTGCCTAGATTATCTGGGACCATCCCCCCTGAACACACTCTGCGAGGATACACAAGGATGCCAGAGATTATCTTTAAAGAGGCAACAAGAAGGTCATTTGTATCTAAAAGATAATGGCCCATGGCATTCACGTCCTTGCAGAGGAACTGATTTTCAGTTACCCAATGGCAAGGACATAAAGCACTACCAGGCGTTAGCTGGGGTCCCCAAGGCTGACCTGACACCCGGCAGCTGTTCCTGGCAGGGGTGCTCAGGCTGCCCTGGACTCTGGGTGAGCATTCTGTCCAGGGTTAAAGCAGAGAGGGAAAGCTCGGTTTCTGTCCCAGGCTTCCCTGTGGATCCCTGGTTTGGGTGACTCAGAACACGCGTGTCACCCTGCAGGGGACAAAGCAGTCCAACATTGTGTGTAGGGCGGATCTGTTAGTCTCAGTTATTAAAACTGTATTTGTGGATTCGCCATCAAATCCTCAGGGTATGACAAAGTCTTCCACAAAGCAGTGCATTCTTGCTGTGGAACGCGTTACTGCTGAAGTCCCCGTGGGGCGCCAATGGAGGAGGAGCTACTGCTACACAGGACCCAGGCCTCCTTCCTCCCAATACGCCTATTTCTTCTCTGGCAATGGGTTCCAGCACCAAGCACCGATGTACACCTCTTGACTGAGCTCCCCAAAGATTCCTGAGGGCAGGAGTGACATATGGCCCCAGAAACAAAAACAAATGGTCACTTAACCTTGTGTGACCTCAGTGACATTACTGGTGAAAATTCGAAGACAAAATATCCAAGAGAAAATGTTTCCAATGATTCTGCCTTTTTACCACGTAGCTCCGGAAGAAACCGCTTTCCAGTAGGATTCTGTTCCAGGCTGCAGAGGGATGTGCTGTTTCTGGAATTTTCTGGTCATTGGATCTGAGACTTCAGTTATGAAGGTAGGAGCCCACGGTCCCTCGTAATGAGTGACCTGTAGGCTGATGCCAGCAGAGCAGATGCAGACTAGACAGAGTACCCCTTGGCCTTTCCTAAGGTGTCGGTGGCGCACCCAGAAGTCAGGGATGGGTGCTTCAGACGCATCCACTGTACAGTTCACACAGCTGAAGCTTGGTCACGTGGACTTCCACCATTGAGGAATACCAGGGTGGGGAGGGTTCTTAGGCAGGTCTCCAGTCCATTTTGAGAGGCTAGCAGTCCAACCAATGCCTTAAAGCCTGGGGGAGGGAAGGAGGTCCATATCAGAAAGGATCACAGGTCTGGGGTCCGTCCCCTGCCAGTTGCACAACCCTGAATCAGTCCCAGCTGTGGTTTGGAAGAGGACATCCCCAGGGACCACCTGGAAAAGATTAGTCCCCAGGCAGTGCTACTGGGAGGAAGAGGGACTTTTGGAGGTTGGTGCCTAGTCAGAGTCCTCAGGTCACTGAGGGCATGCCCTTGCAGGGAACTGTGGGGCCCCAGTCTCTTCTTCTTCCTGTTTGTTTTCTCTTTTCCCCTAGCTCACACGGTGAGAGGTTTCTTCCAGCACACCCTCTGGCCATGATGTACTTACTGTCTCTCCGGAGGCCCCAAGTATTAGGGCACTCAGTCATAAGCTGGAACCTTCAAAAGCGTACGCCAAGGAAACCTTTCCTCTTTCCAAGTTAACTGCCTCACAGATCTGATTTTAGTGGCAGAGAGTGGACTCATACAATCGCCCTACTCCACTTAAAGCCTCAGGATTTTTACCTATAAAATTGAGGATATGACTTGCCTAAGGACTTCTGATGAAGATCAGTCGTGATTCTTAGATGTAAGTACCAAAGGCCACTCCTGGCTCATAACAAGGATTGGATTCCCACTTTCCACCCCAATTTATAGTCCTGTTTGCAAATTTCTGAGGCAGACTGTGTTAAGATAGTTTCATTTCCTGAAACCCACAGGACAACAGACTGTGACCAACTGTAACACAGAGCTCGACGTACAGAGCGGAATGAAGCTCTGTCTAGCATGCTGGATGGAGTGGGAGGTCTTACCAGATTTAGTTATGAAAAAGAACTTCCTCCTTCAATAATTGCTTAACCTCTGCAAATAGTGTGCTGAGTCCTAGAATTTAGAATTCTGTCCAAATGTGCCTTACCCTGGACCTATTCTACCAGGTGAAAATTAACCAAGCTCTTTGAAGGAGACCTTTTACTCCCCACCTTTGTGGTGAATGGGCACAGTTCTGTGAAGTGGGTAGAAGTAGGAGAGCCACTCCCAGAGCCTCAGTGGTAAGTGATCATTGACTTTGATGGGGCTAATCCTGTTCTCCCCCCCTGACCTCTTCTAGTTCGTGTAAATTCAATGATCTATTTGTTAATGGAAGAGCATTTTCTCTGCATTCCACAGAAGGTATTTATGAAAAGAACCACAGAGGCCGTCACTTGCCTAACATGGTCAGACTTTGAACATCAGTAAATGATGCAATCAGTATCACAACCACAGTGGGTTGAGAAATAAATGACATGTTGGTGACCTTGTCAGGATAGAGGGGAGCCTACGCATTCATTTGAGAACTGGCAAAGAAAAGTTAAACCAGCGGATCATCAATACAGCAAGTATTTATCTTCTGTGTATTACATAATCTTTATCCCACCAAAGCCAAATGTGGTAAAAGTGATATAAGTGTCCCAGGTCATTAATGAAGCATGAATAAATAATAGTTGGTGGTCATCGTGTTACAATCCTGAGTGCATGGAGACCATCCTACCAGGAAAAGGTAACCCAAAGGACCTGTGCTTCCTGATGGCTGGAGGCAGCCACACCTTTGACAAGGTGTCCCGTCTAGGGGGCTGCAGTAGCCTTCAGAGCTATTTATCATTTTATAGGAAGTTTGGGGACAGGAACGTATTAGAGACAACTACAGCAATGTAATTAGAAATTTCCCCACACATCTGTAGGACAAAGGGCCACTTCATCAACAAATAAAACTCCAAAGGAAAACATATAGGGAACACGTGCAGATTAACAGAGAAACAAACAACTTCAGTGTCTGCATGTGATCATTCTGCTGATTGTACAACTAAGTTTAAAAATTATAAGACTATCAAACACCAGCCACAGTGTTAATATTTAAATAAACTTTTATTGTTTATAGTGAGTTAATGAATTTTTTATCTTTTCTAGAGTCCTTACCTTGTAGATATACACAATGAAGTATTTAAGGATAAACTTGATTGATGTTCTGCCCTTGCTTCAAAATAATCTCAGAGATGGAGAAAATGTTTGCATGTGTGTTTTTCTGTGCAGATAAAACAAGATTAACCTGAGTGGACCAACTCTGAAGCTTGATTAATTTATACCTTTTCTCTTCTCTTGTGCATTGGTGCTTTCCATAATTAAGAAACAGATATCTGTTAATCCCTTTCAGAAACAATAAGTAAAAGAATCCTGAGTGCAGTGTCAGCTTCTGTAACTTGGCTTTGGGTTGCCAAAGCCTGTCTTCCACAAACATCTCACACTCGTTTTTCCACAAACCCCTCCTCCCTCCCAGTTTGTGGCCTGGCTACTCTATAAGGGAAATGTCCTTCCTTTACCTGTCTGCTCACTTATGAAGTGTATATCCAATAATATTCCTTCCTCCTGTATCTCTGGCTGCAGCCCCAGCAAGTACTAATTGTTTTTGCCTTTAATTCGCTCGACTGTGTGTGCTCTGCTTGGAGATAGTCCTGCCACACTGCATCTTACACAGGCACACCTAGCTCTGCTTGGCTCTGAGTCCTTGAGAACAGGCACCAGCTATTGCTGATTTTCTATTCCTGGTTTCCACCTCAAATACAGCCACTCAATAAAAGTGTACGGACCTGCATAAGTATGCCACTTCCAGGATCACCACTTTCCTACACTCAGGGGCACCCATGTATATTTCTGCAGATAATGAACGGTCCTGTGGCATCCTGCCAAGGGCCTTCTGGTGCTGAAAAGACAGCTGGTCTTCATTATTAAACAAACAACACTACCCCTGGGTGACAGGTTACATGCTTCCAAACATAGTTCCTGAACTGAATTCTGGGGGACAGTGAACTCTCAAAGTAGCCCTTCTTGTATCCAGTCTCATTATGCTCTCCTTATTCTGCAGCAGCTCAGGTGAGAAGCCTGCCTTCTCAGCCAGCGTTGGTGTCCCTGACACTGGATGGAAATATTGTGGTTCCTGTGTCCTGATGTGCCTGTGACAAGACCTCTCTGCCTAAGAGGTGTCAAAAAATGCACCTTGATTCCCACGACAGGGAGACATTTCTCTCACTCCCAAGAGTTTTACTTCAGTCTAATAGGGAACTTGCTCCAGTCAAGGGGCACACTTAGGAAGCTTGTGTGTGGGATTCCCATGTTCTAAAGGTGCCTGAAGAAGGCATCAGGCCACACTGGCGCAGCGTACTGGGCCAGCAGTCCTGGCCTTCGGCCTGCTCATTCCTTCTGTGGGGTTTGAATCTCCTGGCAGCGGCTGGTGGAAATCACAGTGGTCCCTGGCTGTTTGGGTTAGTGCAGCTTGTGACAAGTGTGTGCACCTTCATGGAGGGTGTCATTTCCCACGGATCATCAGTGAACAAACGTGCTGGACGGGTGTTGGAAAAACCAACAGTCCCTTCCTAATCCAACAGACTGGCCACACACATAAAGTAAAATGAGAAACATTTCTGCATTTCAGTAACATCATTCTAATTTCTTTTTTAAAAATTAAGAGCTTTTTTGAGGTATAATTCATGGACCACAAGTGCACTTTCTTGGGTGTCTATTTGGGGAGGGTGGTGGTGGATAAGAACATGATCTAATTTCAGTTTTCCATTAAGCTCAGAATAAACCCTGTGGCCGGGGTCAGCCTCCCCAGCCTCCCAGCCACAGTGCTAGCAGCCTCTGACCTGTGTTCTGAACCTGGAGATGTGCTGTTCTCCCGTATGCAGGGGAGTGTGCAATGCGTACGCATCTGCCTCTGACTTCCTTCACCTAGCATCCTGTTCTCAAGGCTCATCCATGCACTTTTATGGCTCAATAGTCCTTGATTTTATGGATCTGGCACATTTTGTTTGTGCATTGACCAGTTGATGCCATTTAAGTTGTTTCTGCTTTTTGTCTTTTATATCTGACACTGCAGTTATGCCTGCACGGATATTTCATGTGAAAATATGTTTTCTGATTCTCTTGAGTGAATGTCTAAGGATTGGATTGCTGGGGTGTAGGGTAAATATGTTTGCCTCCATGATGGCTGCACCATTTTAACATCCCACCTGCAACGTCTGGGAGTATCAATTTCCCCAGCCTCACGAGTGCTTGTCCACAGTCTCCTTCACTCCGTTGATCCTTTCAGATGTGAGGTGATACCTCCTTGAGGTTTTCCTTAACATTTTCTGAATGACTAAGTATATTGAGCACCTTTTCACATACTTTTTTCTATTTGTTTCTCTTTTTAGAGAAATATGTATTAAGTGTTTGAGCCACTTTCAAATTGATTATTTTTCTTTTTAGTTGTTGAGTTATGTGAGTTCTATATACATTCTGGGAAAGTGTCCTTTATCAGATATATGATGTGTAAATATTTCCCACAATGCACAGGTTTTCTCTTCACTTTCTTAATGAAAACCTCTTAAACACAAACTTCTTAATCTTTTGATGAAATCTTACAAATTCATTCTTTCATCACTATTTGCGCTTTTGGCTTCACAGATTGCTCAAACCATGGAAATGAATATTTGCTCCTAAATTTTCTCCTAAGAGTTTATTGGTTTAGCGATTATGTGTAGGTCTATAAATGTTCTTGAGTTAATTTTTGTATTAGTTGTGAGATAGGTGTTCAGCTTCATTGATTTGCAAATGGATATCTAGTTGTTTCTACAGTATTTGGTGAAAAATTATTATTTTCCCACTGAATTGACTTAGCACAGAGTTGAAAATCAATTAAGCACAACTATAAAGGATTGTTTCTGGACTTTAAAATATACTTGTTCTGTTGCTATACATATGTAGCTATATGTCGCTAGTGTGCTGCTTGATCACTATAGCTTTCTTAAACAATGTGAATAGGAAGTATGAGTCTTACAACTTTTATTTAAAGATCCCTTGGGTTATTCTGAGTTTCTTTTATTTTCATATGAATTTAGAATCAGCTTTTCCATTTCTACAAAAAAGGGCTAGGATTTTATTGGAAATACTTTGCATCTTGATATCCATTTGGATTGTATTACAATCTTAAAAATATGAAGTTATACTACTGATCCATGAACATGGAATGTCTTTACATTTAGTTAGTCTTTCATTTCATTCAACAATGTTTCATAGTTTTCAGCATGCAAGTTGTGTGCCTCTTTTATTAAATTTATTCCTAAGTATTTTATTTTTTGATGCTAATATAATTAATATTTTGATTAATTTTAATGCAGGTCATTTCTTGCTGGTGTATAGAAATATGATTGATTTTTGGCTATTGATCTTGTCTCCCTGTACCTTCTGGAACTCCATTATTAATTCTAAGTTTACTTGTGTCTTCCTTGTGATTTTCTGAACACAAAAGCATGCCATCTGTAAAACTGAGGTAGTTATACTTCTTTCTTTTAAATTTGGGTGTCTTTTTATTTATTCCATTTGCATAACTATCCTGGCTATAACCTCTAATATAAATTTGACTGAAAGGGAACAAGTACAACATCTATTTTTTCATAAATAGGTAAAGTGTTGACTTTTAGTAGGTTCCTTTATCAGGTTGAGAAGGCTCCCTTGTATTAGTTTTTTAATCATGAAAGGGTGGTGAATTTATTTTGAGTGTCTTCTATATTTACCTAGAAGATCATATTTTTTCCTGAATTATATCAATATGATGTAGAGCAATGATTGATTTTCATATCTGGAACAAAGTTTGCATCTCTAGAGTGAATACCACTTGCTCTTCATCTACAGTAAGTTTTGCATGTTGGTAGTCTAGTTTCTAGTGTGTTAGTGAGGATTTTTCTTCTGAATTCACAGGGATATACTTTTATTTCCTTATGACGCCTCTCTCTGGTTTGCTATGAGAGTAAAACTGACCTCATGGAGTTAATTGTAGAATTGTGCCTCCTCTTCTTTAGTCAGTAGAGTTTGTGATTTAAATAACTTGAATCTTCTTTTAGCGATATAATGTGAGCTCTCTCTCATGAGCACATTTTAGTACAATTTAACTATTTACTATTAATTTCTTTTTTGTTTGTTTTATTGAAATTTATTATTGATATAGCTTTTTGATAACATTTTTAGTGATCAGATTTTTTCTCTGCTCCAAAAGCATTTGGGAAATCTCTGTAGAACTTTGGAATATATTAAAAATGATAACACTCCGTAGGCTCAGATCTATAAATCATATTTTGGTTTCCTAAAAATGGTAAGTTCTTAAACTGTGGCAATCAGCTCTGTTCTCTGCTATGCTAAGGATCTGAGCTACTAAACAAGTTGTGGATGAAATCTATGCCATGGCCTATTTATAATTCTAAATCCTGATGATTAGAAAAATAATTGTTACCTACCATGTAGAAGAGTAAAAATTGTTCACTTTGTGATCCAAACACACAACACTCAAGCAATGAGAAATATATTTCAAAGCGGGAAATAAAAATAATAGAAAAAGGAACATATTTTGATAAAATATTTTACAAATATTTTTGGCAGTTTTATGAATTACACATAAGCAACTTATGAAAAATCTCTGCTTAAATTCATAAAATGCTTATTAGTCACATACACTTGCATAAATTGATGGGTTTGTCAAATGGAACTGTTAAAGTAGCAAAACAAATTGCATATCATAGCAATAATTTTTGTCTTCTCAGTTTACTCATCCTTAAAACATTTAAATATTATTTAAAATCAAGTATGTAAATAACATAAAAAACTAAAAAAATGCATGGAATAAAAATGAGATTAATATTTTATATCCAACAGTCTCTATTTTTGAAACTATTAGAGAAAGAATGAAATAATTTATTTTATACCAAACAGATGATATTTATGAGATTTAAATGCCTTTTGTGCATTTACATAACAAATCTGCAGATAAATGGTCCATACAGAAACTCTAGCATAACTGCTCTCTGAATACCACAGTAGGGCATGTGGCAAGGTCACTAGGCTCCAGGCCGATGC